GCATGTCAGGGAGCACAGAAGGAGCTTAAGTAAACGAGGTGGAAAACAGCATGTCAGGGAGTATTCCTACCTTCTCATTCTCCTTTTTTTTAGGAAGCCTGCTATATTTTGCCATTGAGAGGTCATGCTCTAAAAATAAAGAGGCATTTTAGCTCCCAGATGGGTTGAAAGGCAAGGACATTCATTCAGCATCTCCAGCCACATGCACACTAAACCCATGCGCCAAGAATGGAGAGAATACCTACCATTACTGGCGAGTCCAAAAAGGTCCTTTAAAGTGCTAACCTCTGAACAAGAGAAAACAAACATCTTAGAGCAAAGAAAAATAAAATACGCCAACCCAGAGCTCTGTGCTTCCCCAAGAAAAGAAAAGTCTATGTGTGGAAGGAGGAAGGCTCTGTGAGCACCTCCTCAGGGCCTCTGCCCTCACACGGCTCTGGCCTCCTGGTTGGGAATCCTGGTCTGACTGGAGTTTATGGCTTCAGCTGCATCCCAAACTTGGGACCCTGACTGCCCTTCAGGCCACTCCTTATAGACAGCATTTGGGGGTCCATGAAGCAGAGGGCACTCGGGTGGACGTGGGCTGGAATGTGTGGTGGCCAGGTACTCTTCATGGAGCCCTGGAGTGTACACTGGAGACCTGGAGATTGGCCCCCAAGAGTGTTTTAATACCTCTTTCCTCACCATACCCGGACCACACCTAGAACCTAGAGTGCCTTGTTGCTGGCCATTTTAACATCTGGCAAAGCCACCACTAACAAAGGAATAATTGATCCTTGTTTTAATGAAAAAGTCTGAAGCCGTCTAGCATATGGTACCTGCGACAAGCCAACAAACACCACTATTACCCCCTGTGGATGCCGCACCCCTCACGCACCATGAGGAGTAACAAAGTCCAAGACCAAAAAAACAACAAGGTCAACAAGGGTGATAGCTGTCCAAGGTTAAAGACTTAAAAACAGGGGCGCCTGGGTGGCTCAGTTGTTAAGCATCTGCCTTCAGCTCAGGTCATGATCCCAGGGTCCTGGATCGAGCCCCGGATCGGGCTCCCTGCTCAGTGGGGAGCCTGCTTCTCCCTCTCCCACTCCCCCTGCTTGTGTTCCCTCCCTCACTGTGTCTCTGTCAAATAAATAAATAAAATCTTTTTTAAAAGAAAGCGATACTTTCTACTACTCTACCACAATCCAGTTTTGCTTCATCAAAGAAAGGAAAGCATTTCATACCTTTTATGTCTTTTTCAGTTTGCCTCAAAACTGCCTCCAGCTTTTCAATCTCTCTTCCCGTTATTCTTACTCTTTTTGGTGTCGGTGGCTTTCTGCCTCTGTGGGCCTGCCTTTCCCTTTCTTCCCCTCTCCCTTTTACTTCCTGTTGGAGCACTTTCAGGGTTTTACACTTCCCTGGTCAAATAACTTCCCTACCAGCTTTCGTGTTCTCTTCATTCAGATATGTACTTATATTGGTGCATAAATGAAAAAGGCAGCGAAATGTCAGATAAAAACCATCACAGCAGAGGGGAGGCCAGATTCTAACCTGGTTCTCAGGCTGACTCAAGTATGACCCAGGCCAAACCCTTCAAACTTGCATGTTGGTGTGGTCAGAGGAGGTTACTTTGATGCACTGTTTCCATAGATACCTAAGAGGCTTTTCTTTTTACTACTACCACATAGTTTTATTCTCTTAAAAAAAAAAAAATCACCATCCTGGGCAAATACTACTAATCCACACTTGAGCCCTTCAGGATTGACGAAGGCCCGGTCGTTACCACTGCCCGCACCCTCTGCCCCGGGCTGCCTCCCATCACAAAGCTGAAAGACACAAATCCGACAATGTAGGTCTTGTGGGGGAGGGGTGATTATTTTCTGTCTAAAAGACTTGGAGTTTATTTTTAAAATAATATCTCCACACATTTCTATGATTTTATTTAGAGAAAGTCTTTATGAAAAAATGCACCCAGACTCTCAGTTCGTATTGGATAATCAGTGCAGGACTTCATGTAGCTTTAGGATGTACATGCAATGATAGATGAGCAACACTCAAAGCCACTAAAAACCCTGCTCAAGCGAGGTTTCTCCTTACACAAGCTGACATTTCATTTATTGTTCTTTGTCAGGTTTCAGTGCCGTTCAACCGCCCTTGGCAAATGTTGATGCCAGGTCTACCCCGCTCCCTAAAGCCTCAGGCAACACGATCACCGGGAATCTCCAAGTGAGGAGGGGAAAGAACATGATCTTTAAGATGTACTGCATCTTTTCTGCCTGAATAAATTTTACATTTTAAGGTGTTTTATATATATATATATATATATATATATATATATATATATATACACATATATATACATACACACACACACACATACACACATTTTTTTTTAAGATTTTATTTATTTGAGAGTGAGAGAGCAAGCATGAGGGGGGTGGGGGTGGGGGAAGAGGCAGAGGGAGAAGCTGACTCCCTGCTGAGCAGGGAGCCTGGAGGAGGGGCTTGATCCCAGGACCCTGGGATCATGACCTGAGCCGAAGGCAGGCACTTACTGAGCCACCCAGGTACCCCTGAAGAGGAAGTAGTATCCTGAACAGATCTCTTAGTACTCAGTTTAGACTTTTTTAGCCAGCTATTTTTTACATCAGTGTTCCAGAAAATACAATTCTTTAATCTCTAAGCAATGAATATTTTCGATGACATAGAGAACAAAAAGACTAGAAAGTTTGGGTTCCCTTTTATAATATCAACTATGTTTTTTTCAAGATTTTGGTTCTTTTTTATTCATTTTTTGACTACCTTGATTTCCAAGAGATATAAAATTACTCTAAAATTTTGCTTTGGTTTTTGGCTGAAGAACCAAAATTAGTCCAAAAGGGCAACCAGGCTCTCTGAACCAGTCCCAGATATGCCCACCCACTAAAATGTGAGCTCCTGGAGACCAGGGAGCTCATCTGCCTTGTTCATGGCTGCAGCCCAGGGTCTAGTACAGGTAAAGCATGGTCCCCGCCCCTCCGTCCCTCTCTAAGGCACCTACTTTACATTCCAAAGCATTCATGGCTCCGCCAAAACAGCATGCCTTTACAAATGCTCAGAACCAGTAATATAAACCTTGCCATCTTTGTCTCCTTGGTAAACACTTACTCATCTCTCAAAACCCAGCACAAAGATCACCTTCTCCAGGAAGCCCTCCCTGGTACCCTAACGTCAAAAAGGTAATCACACCTTTCTGCGTGCTGTCTTGTACCTCTCTGTCTTGTTGCCCTTAACACATGATGTTATGACTGTCTGTTTTCAAGCCAGTTTTCTCATTAGCCTGTAACCTCCTTTAGGCGAGCCAAGAACACAGTGGAGATTCAATGGAAGTTAGCTAAACTGAAGTGCTCAGAAAAAGAAGGGCATTTCTCAATGATGCACATATTTAAAGAAATTAGTACAGTCAGAACAATTATGAAATGAATTGATATTTTCAAGGTAATTGGCACTGAACTCAGTAACTTTACCTGTGAGATCCTTTTCTCGAAATTGTATAATAGGTAGAACCATTGTGTCTGCCAACTGTTTAGCCAGCTCTGTATGGAGAACATTAAGCTGAAAAAAAGAGAGAAATCTTACTGAAAAAAAATTATACCCACTATAACGGACACTGACTTCTACACAGGATCACAGTGAACACTTCTGTGTGGTTTAAGAGTTCTGTTACACTTCCTTAGCAAATAAACAACCCTTCATGAAGCTGCAAATGATATAGGCCTAGAGGTTTTAAAACTAAATGCGCGGTTCTGAGCTGGCCTCAGTTAGGTTTGCTAAAGGAGTCTCTAAACCCATGGTTACGGTCTATGTACGGTGCAAACCCTGGTTGTGTTCTCAGGTTGAGCCACACCAGCTGGAGGAGGGAACGTCACGTTCATGTGCATGCAACGAACACAGCTCACTGGGAGGACTCACCTCGGGTCACACTTTACCAGGCCACCGTAAGTCCTCTCCCTCTCAGAACGGCCAAAGTCACTTGAAAGACTGGCCTGCTGGGAGCCCATTAACCTGACAACCATAGCAGCTGTGGGCCTGGGAATTACTCTGGAGAAAGAAGGCTCCCCACTGAAACCTCAGATCCCAGGCCTCTGTTCTTTCAAAGAGCAAGCTGACTGTATTCAAATGTGATCCTCCTCACCAAGTAATTTTATTTTGATTCTTTCTCTCCTTCCACCTTGTCAAGGCCTTTCTAAATCCTGTTGTAAATGGTGCAAAAAAAATAAGTCATCGCCCCTCAGCACTACCATTTTTGAGTCCTTTTTGCATGCCAGAGTTACATGCTTTATATCACTTGGTTCTCACCCACTCTGAGGGTCAGGTCTTACTTATTATACCCACGTAACAGGTAGGCAAACAACTCTCCAAATCCAGAACAGCAAAGAGGTAGAACGGCTTTTCATCCTGGGCTACTAGAATCTGAACTCCAGGCTTTTCCTATTACACCGTGCTGGATATAGAGTCTTTTATGCTCACAAAGTTGCCCAAACTTCAAATGTTTGGTGGTCTAGACATCAGCAACAAACACAGATATTACTGAAGATGTTCTGGGATTCCTGGTTGGTGAACAAAGGGAAACCACCCACCAATCTGTTTTGCAGTGTGCATTCGGCAAAGTTTCGCTTTCACGCGCGTAGGCCTCCACACCAAGAGGCTTGTTTGAGAACCCCTGATGGGGCCAAGCTTCCGGGAGGCCATGATACCACCTATAAAATCACATTCCCAGCCTTCCAGCCTTTGGGAATGATTCACTCCCCACCAAAGAATCATCATTCCTGCCCATGAAAGTAGGGTTGTTAAGTAAGTATCTTAAACTGGAGATACAGGTTCTGGGGGTTTGAGGACTAACCACATTTCCTTAGCAACTGGCTCTGGTCAAGAAAAGACCTGAGTTCAGCGGGTGCAGCCCGCTGCTTCCCCCCCTGGGCTCCTTATTCATGGTGAATTAGGAAACATTCATCTCCTCACTTCCAAAAAAATTACTTTTTGCTCCTACTTTTTTCCATTCATGATCTTCCTATCTGGAAAAGATATCCACCCATTTTAAACGTTCATTTTGAAGAGAGAGTCGTGGAAGAAAGGATGAAGCTCAAAAAGAACTGGATGACGAGTTCTCTGTTATATCCCCAGTGCCTAGAACAGCACCTACCACACAGTGGGTGGCCAATGTGTTTGCTGAATGAATATCAACTTGCTGGGTTGCTTTGTTGAATGAATGACAATGCAATCAGTACAATTTTATATGAATGTTAGTTTCTCATTTTATAAACTGAAGACAGTATCTCCTTTACATCAGTGACTGAACAGTTAAATGGCACCTGCGTGTTGTTTTTCGCTTCTTCTTTATCATAATTTTCTACTGTAAGTACTGCAAGCTCCTTGACAGGTGAAATACTCATTTCATACCGACCCAATTCTGCAGAGGGTTCTGCTCAGCACCAGTAGCCTCTGAGCTGGGGTGTTTATTACAAATAGGATTTATGTACCTCTCTTATAACAATAGCTGTTTTTCACAAATGGTCCAAATGTGTTATACAAGACAGCTACAAGAACAGTTGTATGAAACCCTCTGTGGTGGGGGAGTCATGCCCAGCCTCTTCCTCCCCCAAAGAAATGTACATCCAGAACATCTGGGAATTTAGAAACAAGGTCTCTACAGATGTAATGAAGGACCTCGGAATGAGATCATCCTGAGTTACCCAGGTAGGCCCTAATCCAAAGATAAGTGTCCCTATAAGAAGAGAAGACACAGATGGAAGGGGTGAAGTGGGGTGGGGAGGAGGCCATGGGAAGGCACAGGCAGAGACTGGAGGGAGGCAGCCACATGCCAAGGGACGCCCAGGGCCACCAGAAGCCGGCAGAGGCCAAGAAGGCTTCCCCCTCAGGCCTCTGGAGGGAGCCTGGCCTTGCCAACAACTTGATTTCATACTTCTGGCCTCCAGAACTGGGAACAAATAAGTGTCTATCGTTTTAAGCCACCTACTTGTAATTTGTTACAAGCAGCTGGAGAAACCAATACACCCTTCTTGGGAAAATGAATTCTCAGAAATCTTTCTCTTGGTCCATTATTCATGTATAACAAAGCCTTTCGCCTCAAACCAGAAACAAATATAATCGCATACAACCTGTCTTGTGAAATGAGCCTCGGAAGAGCAACAAGTTGAGATATCTTCTTAAATATTTGAGTAGATACATACAATGGAAAGTGGGCCAACACAAAGATGAAAGAAAGTTCAAGAAAGAATCAAATAAAATTTTGCCGTGTTTCGATCTTACCTCATCTACCACTTTGGAAAAATAGTGGAGTGTAGAAATTACTTCTTCATCGCCTTTGCCAAGAGCAAAATTCTAAGACCAGAGAATAGAAGACCCAGGTGTTAAGGCCTGGAGAGTCAGTGCTGCCTTACCCCCATCCCAGCACCCTCCAACCAGCTCCCACTCTGCTCCCGAGCGCACATCGCGTCACGGTGTCTATCTGCAGAAAACGAGTGCACTCGCCACTTCCTCCCCAGCAATGCACTCAGTCGCCACCCCCCCAGGCTATTCCTTTGTTGGCCATCACCCTTCTTCTGTCTGGACATAACGGCATCTTTGAGTTTATTTCCTGGAACTGGGTTATTTCCTGGAATTTGATTCATTTGTAGCCCCTCGGACCATGAACCCTCAAGGCAGTGGGTGACTTCTGTAGGCTAATTAGAATACATCATAAAGACTTTGGGATAATCACCAGTTAGAATTTATCAGGGGAAAGGAAAAGGCAAGACAAAACAAAAACAAAAACAAAACAAAAAAAACACCAAAAAACAAAAACAGGAGTGGACCATGAACAAAAAGAAGGAAATCAAAGTCTCTCAAGGATGCCCTTGGAGAATTCCTTTTTTTGTTTGTTTTTTAAAGATTTTTATTTATTTATTTGACAGAGAGAGAGAGACAGTGAGAGAGGGAACACAAGCAGGGGGAGTGGGAGAGGGAGAAGCAGGCTTCCCACGGAGCAGGGAGCCCGATGCGGGACTCGATCCCAGGACCCTGGGACCATGACCTGAGCCGAAGGCAGATGCTTAACGACTGAGCCACCCAGGCGCCCCCCCTTGGAGAATTCCTTAAAAGAACTCCATTTACGAGAGTCCTGAGCATAGCATCCACATGCCACATAAATACCCAGTTACCTGTTTTTCATATGCTAGCAGCTGCTTAGAAAGCTGCTGAGTGGCCAGGCACATTTCATTCTGCAGGGAGAAGAGAAAAGCAGGTAAGGTGTGTCCAACACATGTAAAGTCACCAAAAAAAAAAAAAGCCACCTCAGAGAATCCCTTAAAAAAATGTATGTGTTGTGTCTGTAAAATAATAGTTCGCTCAGGAATTATTTGGAAAACAAGACCAAAACACATTAAAAAGGTTAAAGCTTGCTTTTCTCTGCCCATCATTTACAAATTACTGCTCCTTCTAGTCAGTCAGTACAAAAATGTAGTGAGCGATGATGCTGTACCCAACATCCAACAGAGACGCCGCCCCTGTCCTCACACAATTTACTGGGAAGCAGACAGCAAAAAACAGTTACAAGCATGATGAGAACCGCAAAGGAAAGCATGGATGTGTTAGGAGGCTCTAAAAGGAGGACGCAGATGGTCTCCAAGGAAGAGTGGTTCTAAGCGGACCCCTGCAGACAGACTAGGAGTCAGCCACGGGAACCAGCTTTCCGGAAGGAGGGACCAGCATGTGGAAAGCAGCCCCAACTGTCTGAAGAGCGACGAGCATAGCCAGAGCAAGGGGTGCAGGTGTGCAGGTGAGACGAGGCTGGCCGTGCGGGCACAGTGAGGGCACGCAAGCCTCCACGGTCCACATCTCGACTAAGGGCAACAGGACTTCCTGCGGCACTGTGACATCATCAGATCCAGCAAACCCAAGAGGGCTAGGTCGGTCCTGCTGGATGGGGACACAGAAGCACGGCCGCACTGCCCTGGGAGGCCTGTTTCAGGCCACTTTCACTGGCCCACATCGTTCATCTTCCTCTTCTCTGGTTTATCCCTCTCATCTCTGGCTGTGGGGCAGTTTTCCACCACAAGCCTCCCACAATCGATGCCCTCTGCCGAGAACACGTGTCTTCCGTTTCTAAAGCTCAGTGAAAACTTCTCTTCAGATTCAGGACTCACTCCCAACAGAGGGGCAGGGCCACAGGGTCTGACTGGGGAGAAGGAGGGGAGGGCGCCGGCCGGCCTTGGCCTTCGCTTACTTTCTAATTCTCTCGGGCCCGCTGTCCCTTCAGGGGCAAGGCCTGAGCTCTGCAGGGGCTTGTTTTCTTTCTCGTGGTCTTCTTCTGCAAGACCCATCAGAATCCCAATCCTACTTTCTTCAACCCTCTTTGCTGACAACTAGCCAACCTGTTCCCTGACTTCCTTCATCAGCCCCAAGGAACAGGCATCAACTGACCCTGAAACGAGCACATCTAAGTTCCTGGCTTTGGCATCCTACCAGGGTGCCACTCCTTTCAAAACAAAACAGAGCTGGCGACCATGGAGCCAAGAGGAAGGCGGGTGAACAAATGCACAAGCACTAGGCCCCGCACTGAGGGAGGGGGTGCAACAGCTCCCAGCACACAGCAGCCTCTCGACAAATGTGTGATGAGTGAATGCACAAACGAGGTTAGAAGACTCCTCTAGATTCCCGGTTTAAGACAATACTTGGAATCAGAGGTCAGGGGAAAATACTTCCTAACTCTACAAGGTGACATCACAATGAGGGGGTGGCATGATAAAATACCAAGAATGGACAGCATGAAACAATCAGCCAAGAAATCGGCCTGCCGATCATCTCCAGCAGAGCTGTTTGGAAGGTCAAAGTGCACGGGAAAGGGTCTTGACCCACTCACTGGGCTGACAGCCTGTTGTATCAGAAAATCCCTCGCTCCTCTTCTCTGAGTTAGTAACGGAGGGTTTAGGGTGGATTTGCTTAAAGCTACTTTAGCATCTGCCCGGGGGCAGCACCATGTGGACTGGGATTTGCAGACCTACAGAATCATCCTAACCACAGCAGCTAGCACGGAGAGCATTTAGTCCATGGCAGATGGCCACACCAAGTGTATTCCATGTGTTACCTCATTTAATTCTGACAACCCTGTAAGGTAGGTTCTGATTATTAACTCAATTTTACAGATGAAGAAACGGTAGCACAGAAAGGTTGAGACACTTGCCCAAGGTCACACAACTACTTAGCAGCAGGGTTGGGATGTGAGCCCACCTCTGTCCCATTCTAAGATCCACACACTTAAACACTACTCTCCAAGATCCCAAGTCCTGCTAAGAGCTGAGGCGGCCTATGCCTTAGCCTAAAGTTGACAAACTTTTCCTCTAAGGGGCCAGATAGACATTACTTGTGGAGATGGTCTCTGTCACAACTACATACTCTGCTGTTGGAACACGAAAGCAGCCATAAACAAGACAGAAAGGAATGACTGTGGCTTCCTTCATTTAAACATTATTTACAAAAATAGGAAGCCAGCCCAAGGGTGTAAATTGTTGATCCTGCTTTAGATATTAAACGTCTCTAGAGACCCACCCTCAGGAAGCTCTCCATTAGGCCACAATATTTCAAATTCAAGGAACATTTTCCATTTTTTTTTTAAAAGATTTTATCTATTTGAGAGAGAGAGACAGAGCACAAGGAGGGGGAGCCTCAGGCAGAGGCAGAGGGAGAGGCAGGCTCCTGCTGAGCAAGGAGCCTGATGTGGGTCTCGATCCCAGGACCCTGGGATCAGGACCTAAGCCAAAGGCAGACGCTTAACCAACTGCGCCACCCAGGTGCCCCCATTTTCTACTCTTTTAAGTCATTCTTTATTTTAGCTAAATCTAAAATATTAATGCCCCATATCTGTATCCTTTAGAGACTGGTCAAAAGATATGATAGCTACCCTCCCTGCCTTCAAACTAAGCAAGAAGCACGGGCTACTTGGATTCTTCTTTACCACTGAGTGGCAAACACTCCAAAGGGAATAATGGAAAACCTGCCAGAGCACCGCCGGCATCAGACTGCACCCAGGCTACCTACCGGTGTGTGTGTGTGGGGGGTGCTCCCGGGCTGCCTGCACAAAGCCAAGAAGGGGGCACAACATTCAACTGCTGCTTTCCACAACTACTGTGTACAACTGGACTCTGCCAGGTCTCGCCCCGAAACACCTTGTGAAAATGCTGTGTATTTTCAGATGTGTGTGATTCCAGGCTGCAAGATTCTGCTCGGCCAGTATGATCTCACTGGGAACAAATGACAGGTCCAAAACAGCCTGTCAACGGCCCTGAAAAGTGAACTTCTGTGCAGAGCACATGCCATGAACAATCTTTTGAACTAGACCAACTTTAATCTTACACTTAATCTACTGTACACAGAGGTTTTACGAAATGCTTTGCCCACATCAGCCAATTAATCCACACCCTGTGAGGTCAGCCCACACAATTATCTCTGCAACAAGGCTTGCAAAACTGGAGCTTGGGTGCAGAGTAAATATTAGCAATAGCAATAACACAGACAGCTGCTAACATTCAGTGAGTCTTTTCTAAGTACCGACAGTGCTGTTAAGTGCTTTTCATATTTTACCACATTTAATCCTTACAGTGCACCTATCAGGTACCGTCTATTACCAAATGAGGAGACAAAGGCTCAGAAAGGATAATAACTTTCTAAAATCACAACTAATATCCGGCAAGGCAAAGACCCAATGCAGATCTGCTGGACTTGAAATCTAAATGCCACGTTTTTAACACTATGCTATTTCCAATCTAAAGTGCAAACCTGTTATCTGGCTGGTACTCAGTGGGCATGTCTCGCTAGGCCCATGGGTAGGAACATAAATCCCACACTTTTTTCTAGCTGTGGTTCAGCAACAGAAGTGGCCTAAAATTTAGACTCTAAATAGAGTTACACGAGTCAGATTTCTGTGACATTCTGGAACCACTCTTTGGCTATTCACTATGCTATCTAATGCCTGCTAAGAATCCTTAAAAAAGATAACCCAGTGACGTGTTTACTGACAGCATCTCCTACATGACATCGAACCTCCACGGCTCCTGTCAAGGCAGAAATACCAGTGGTCAGCAAACCTGAAAGAAAAACCAAGCTTTTAGCAAAGGACTGTTTATCTTGGGGTGGCACAGAGCGCTCCGGCAACTGTCACTGTCACCCGAAACCACCCGGAGGCCCCTGCTGGTGGCACATCCATGGTGGATGGCAATGGTGAGGTTGGGAGCAGGGGCAGAGGAAGTCCCCTGGGGTCAAAGTCACCATGTAGGCCTTTGCTTCCATCCCAGCCACGTTGCCTTAAGCCCAGGCGTGGAAAGTCTCGGTCACCACGTGCTTACCACCAAGCCGGGGTCGAGGAGTCCTCGAGCTGGGCCGCGCACAGGAGTAGTGAGGAGCATGAGGAACCAAGGCAGGACGCTGTGCTGGGGGGCAGGCCATGAGGGGTGCCCACTGGGGACGGGGACGTTACCCTGGAGTCAATAGGGAAGCCCCGAGCCACGTGCACAGGAGAGTGACAAGATCCGACTTGAGCAGAGGAAAACTCAAGAGTGGCTGTGGTGTCGAGGAGCACTGAAGGGGTCATGGCAGGAGGCTCGGGAGACCACCCGAAGAGGTCGAGCGAGGGATGAGAACAGTCTCCAGAAAGTGGAGAAGGTGGTGGAGACCTGGGAGATTGTTCTGAGGCAAAAACAACAGCGTGCAGTGCATGAGGGAGGAGGAGAAATCAAAGAAAGCCAGCCTCCAGTGGGAGGACTGCGGGGAGGCCCCGCAGCCGAGCTGTGCTGGCGCTCAGCTGCAGGTGTCCACAGCTCAGTCCTTTCCTCCACACCCGCAGCACCACCGGCTCCAACACTCCGAGGGGCCAGGCCCGGTGCGGGCACTGGAGCCAGAGAGTCGGCTCTCTGGGATCTCACAGTCCAGAGGGGCTGGGAGACCGCATTCACTGCACCGGAAGAGCTCGCACCAACGAGTGCACGGGGCATCTGGGCACGTGGGCACGCTTCGGCTGAGGAGGGAGAGCAGGAAGGAAGGAAAGGTGCCAGACACCTCGGAGGTGATGTCTTCAAGCCGGGAAGGCCGTTTGTCAGGGCAAGGGGTTGATGGGGATTGTTGGCAGCAGGAATGGCAGAGCAAACTCTCAAGACATGTGGAGGGCCTGGCACATTCCGGAACAGCCAACCACGGGGCTAGAGGAGTAGGCTGATACTCAGTTCATGAA